TAGCCCAAGCTGGCCTCAAATTTGCAGTGATCTTTTTGCCTCAGCCTACCAAATGCTGAGATTACAGACATGTACCACCTGCCCAACTTACACTTGATTTTTTAAAATGCAAAAAACAAAAGCCAATGAACAACACAGAGTTAATATTAAGTCCTTTAAAAAATTTACTGGAAAGCTGGGCATGCTAGTACACGCCTGTACTCTCGGCACTTAGGAGGCTGAGGAAGGAGGATCTTAGGGCCTTTGAGACCAGCCTAGGATACACAGTGAGTTCAAAGCCAGCCCGAACTGCATAGCGAGACCCTGTCTCAAAAAGACCAAAGTAATAATAATAATAATAATAATAAAACTGAGAAAGAGTATCTTGATATGGATTTTATAACAATGACTTTAAATGTTTCCCTTTTTTAGTACTTTACTATTCATAAAATGCTAATTGTACCTGCACAAGGAATAAGTGCCCCAAAATACCTGTGTTTAGTAACCTTTGCTTGTTGTTAAACAATGACAAAGTAAATCTTTTTCCTACTTGTCTTAATGTTCCCTTCCAAAGACACCCACAAAGTGAATCTGGGTAGGCGATTTCTAGAGTTCGCTAATGGCAATGTAAATGTGCACTCATGATACTGGGCACTGGGAACATACTTCCTTACACAAGACACAGTAGCACTATCTGCACCGCTGATACGCTGGACAGATGAGAGCGCTGGCAGGGAAAAGGGAATTAAGAAGGATAAAGGTGTGCATGTCCATGTTCTGTTCCCCATGAGGGACACACAGTGTTCACTATGTAATGCATGCAGGCATACACTAATTTAAAAAAAGAAGGGGGAAGGAACTGCAGCTAACAAATGGTAGGGAAGCTTCGGTCCTGGCAGCTGGGCTCTAAAGCCTATGGTTCTAACCCATTGTGTTAAAGTGCATCTCTAGCAACCAATTAGAAGGATACAGCTTAAAATTAAAGAATGGGCCATTTGAATCAATGATTCCAGAGTGGCAGAATTCTGAAGGATGACATCCTTCCCACTGAGGCAAAAAGGAATCAAAAATTATGGTAAACTTGGAGTTTTAATCAAGTTTTCAAAACAGCATAAACCTCCTGGTAACACATAGTAACAGTTCTTAGCAGTGAGCAACAGAAACTGGATGATTAGTAGAAAATGGGTTTGTTCAAAGACCAATAAACGTTTTTAAGGCTAAACTTCTAAGAACACCTAATAAACCACACTGCCTAATTAATTAAATGAGGACGCCTGATGTTGCTAGGAAACACCTGATGCTTCTGTTAGCTCCACCATCCTCCAGAGTGTTAGACACAACTGCTGCTGCTGTCTGCTAGGGGTGTACAGGCCCTGCTGCTGCCAAGGCTGGAAGCCTGGGTGTGGGTTTCCAGTCTTTCTTATTGCACGTCTCACTGCTAAATCAGAGCGTGTAGATGGTGCATCTGAATGACACGGCCTGGGTCAAATACTGAGTTCTTCCAAGAAAAAGCCGGAAGTGAGCTTTTGTTTCGACCTTGGTGAAACAAGGCTCATGATACAGAACATTTCTCAAGCACAAGAAGAGTCTACAAGAGATGCTAGATAACCAACACTATGACTACATTCACTACAAAGAGCACCAATCAGGAGCTGTTATTGTTGAACAACACTTTAGGAACATGTGTTACATCTGCTTTAGCAACACTAACCTTAGAATCCATTCATTAAGAAAAAAATGTCTGCGCTGGCAATGGGGTAAAACACAAATGCAAGTATGTCCCTTACACAAGGTAGCCTAACAACCCACAGCTTGGTAAGGATACTTAAACTTTACATTTAAAAAGCAGAAATAGAAACAATTGGAATGATGGGTCACTCATCTAATCGTGCATTGATAATAAGTATTCTTTCTCAAAACTTCAGAAATTGCTTATAACCACATGTTGTGAGATGCATGCAACACAGGGCAGAATGCACAGAACATTGATCTAAATAAAATAAGTTTAGCTTATAAATACCAATTAGTAACTCTGTAGGCTGTAAGATGGTAGATATTAGTCATACATAAAGCGAGTCTAGTTTCAGTAAGACCTGAACGGCCCTGGAATTCTGATTAGCCCACTGCGGGACCACCTACCCGATTCAAGAATTCATACTTTCAAGGGCTGGTTTTTAAGTGGCTCTCAGTTACTAAGAGTCTGACCATTCTTTACATGTTATTACTTCACTAGGTCATGCCTTTTAGTCCAGCAGTAGAGATTCTCAAAGAATTTGACTCAATATGGATCATAGGTCCACTCCAGAATCGATCAGCTATGGCACAAGACTAATCACCTGGTCAAACCTAGCTGCTGAGGTCAATTTCTTTACGATGAGTTATGGAAATAAATCCAAAAAGGTCACCATGACCACCACCCACACCTGTGCCAACATGCACATCATAATAGCAACCTGTAGTCATCTTTCAAGGAGAATTCAGATGTGCTGGAACACCAGGGAAGGGATGGCACCCAAAGAGGAAAGCAGAATGTACAAAGCTTCCTGATTTACATCACTTGTCTATCTCATAATTAAATTTTTCACTACACACACTGGCAAGCTTCTCCAGTAACACGAAGTTTGCCAGCACCTCTGCCCTCTAGGTGTTCTCACTTTCCAAGGCACCTTCTGCCAAGAAAAGGAATGAAAGTCATCACTCTCCTCCCCACGGCTTTCACTTCATTCCTTCCAGGCTGAAAGGTGGCTTGAGAGACCTCTTCCCCCAGGTGAAAGAGACCTTATATAAGTTTTCCCAACACATTAGCACAATTTCCTATAAGCTGATGTAAAAATGCTGTGACTAAAGTTACGTAGTGAAAGTTGCCGGAAAGTACTTTTTGTGAGACACATTCTTTATGCCTATTGTGTACAGTACCAATCACCTGTGTCGCGGAATGAGTTTGATAAATGTAAACTGTATGTGACCAGGACACTTAAGTCTGCCTGTGCCTGATCAATCTTCACAGCGCCTCTACAAGCATAGCTATTAGCTTCTAGTGCTCAGTCTTCCCAATGCACTTGGCATAAAATTCGGGCTTCCTATCCCGATCAACAAGGACTGACTTACGTTTCAGGTTCAACATTCAGTAAACACTCACTTATTTCTTATAGACATGGAGTAAAGTATTTCTACTCCAAAGTTCATTAAGAAAATCTTGTTAGCCTCCCCCCCACAGCTGCAGTTTTTAGGAATTCTGTATTTCTGTTTCTTTTAGTGCTCCATCTTGATTTCTGTTCTACAATCACTATCCTACTATCAGCAAGGCCAAGCCCAGGTGCACCAATGATAAAAAATGGTTTTTGAGGAGGAAGATTATGTAATACTAAAAATACAATTTGTATTTCAAAGGTGAAAAGACCTATCTATAGCTTTGGTAAGAGAACGAAAAAAGTCAACATCAGTTTTTGGTTCATTAGGATGTACTCTGCCGAAGAAATATCCCATTAGGGTGTTGTAAAATTTTTATTTTGATCAAAAGGATATTAATGCTTCATTAAAAGCCTGAAAAATTAATGCCTAAACCAACCCCAAACAAATGTTTACAGGTTTAAAGGAGGGGGCGCCCCACATAATGGTAAGTGAAGGGGCCCATTTGACACACAAGCTTAAATATGGAATGGTTTCTCCTACACGAGAAACCCAAAGTATATAAATAAGTTAAAAAGCAAATAGAAGACAGATAATAGGAAACAGGAAAATAAATCTTTTGCAACTGGAAGAGGACCAAGGGATGCAGGAAAGGGGGAGAAAGGGAGGGAAAGGCGATGCAAAAGAATCAAGACGTGTTATGAGGAATGTAATCATCGTGCACTGCAAACACATAATAAAATAAAAATAAAAGTTGTGGGGGGTTTCCAAAGAGTAAGTAGGCAAGTCCAAATCACTCCATACATTATATTAGAATTAAGTAGTAAATTGGGCATGGAGGCACACTCCTGCAATCCCAGCACTTGGAAAACTGAGGCAGGAGGATTGCCATGAGTTCAAAGCCAGCATAGGCTACAAAGCAAGACTTTCTCAAAAAAATTTAAGTGTGTATGTATCAGCTGCTCAAATGTTCCCCATACAATAAAATCCTCCTAGTACACAAAACAAAGTTTTCATACTGAGTTCTTCACTGATTAATACCTGCCCTTGCCTCCCATATCCATTTCTAAAGGCAGATCTCTTCAGCATTTCACACGCGCCTCTTTTGCATACCAAATCATTTAAAGTATACAATATTCTCCCGGCTCTGTGTAGTACACACTGATACACCAGTTTGTAGACAATAAATGGAAGTTGGATGAAATTAGGTGGCTTGATGGTTACAAAACTCGTAGAATTGGGATTCAACTCAGTGTAACTCCAAAGTTCCCTCTACTACATGCCCGGGTGAGCAGAGGGTGTCTTCATACCTTCTGGCACCGCTCTGCTGCTAAGGTAACTTCTCTCTGCTTTCGTGGTATTTGCCACACTCGAAATAAAGTTTTGGGTTGCACTATCAGGCTTGACTCCACTACTTTCCGCTAAGCACCCCATCCCTTCATTCTTCGCTAGAGTGAGGATAAGGCCCAGAAAACAGGTGGCTCCTAGAACCCCCACCCCTAGTCACAAGCCTCGCCAGGAGTCTCCGCGGTATTTAACCTGCTTTGTAATCCGCACTGTGAAGTCGCTGCAAAATTATTTGGCACTCTCATTGAAGACCTACTGTCAAAATTGAACGTGCGGAAAAATAATTTCAATTTAGTCACTTTCGCCGTTGGAAAATCTATGCCGTCAAGTGGTCAAAATAGATCCGTTGCTCGGCTGCAAGGCGGCAGGCAGGCAAAACCTTTGATTTTCCCGCAATCCCAACAGCCGCGCCCGCCCCCCTCCCCTGCCGCTCCCAGCAAAACTATGCGCATGCGCCTTCCCAGCCCCTCTAGAGACCGCCACCACCTGGTGGCACCACTTCCCTCCACGCCCGTTTCGCCCGCTCAGCACGTTTCTTCAGGTACCTTTGTCCAATTCCATAAGAGCAGAATTAGCATCCAGTTCCTGTTCGCCATACCCAGTATCTGCCAGGAAAGATTTAGTTGAGTTTGACGCCATGGTCCGAATAGTTTCTCGACAAGCCAAGTCAGAAAGATTCCAAACTCTGCCTCAGCACCGCCATCTTATCCCGCCGCCTTCTCGCGGATTTTTACTCCGCTCTCCGTCAAACCGCGTTACGCATGCGCCCTGGTCACTCCACGGTTCGCCAGCTCCTCTGTGGGCCCCCCGCGCAGGCGCTGAGGGAACTCCTGAACTCCAGGTTCCCGCGGCTGGGAGAAAAGGAGGCGGGGATTCCAAGGGGGAAGTGACTCAGGCGCCCGGACGCCGCGGCGGAAGCCAATCAGAGCGCGTGACGTCAGTTTGGCGCGGAGTTTGGCGGCCGGGGCTTACAGTGGCGGGAGTTGGAGGCAATAACGGGTCGCGGTGTCAGGGGCGCAAGTTAACGATTTCTGCTGCTTTTAGGAAGCATTTTCAAGGCTATCTCTTCACCTGAGCCTTTCTTCCTCGCCCAGATGCTCTTCAATTCGGTGCTTCGCCAGCCCCAGCTTGGCGTCCTGAGAAATGGTGAGTAACGGTCTTAACCGCTGCTCGTGGCTGGCAGGATTCGCCTCCCGCGAAATGCTCCACCTCGGATCCGGGCCGATTCCAACTCTTTTTCCCAGTTCCGAGTTTTCCCACTGCCAGAGTGAGTGAGCGTGGGCGAGGACGAGCGAAAGAAGTTGTCCTTTGATTTCCTCCCGACACTTTTAATCGGAATCGGGCTTTTGAAAGGATACTGTAGGCCGGAGGAGGGAGGGGCGTTGAGTCGCTGGCCTCCCGGGCCCCTGGCCGCTGACGTCAGTATCCCGCGTTCGCCAGAAAACAGTTGTGTTGGGGGCGGGGGCGTCTCCGCGGCGGTCCGGGACCTCGGCCAGTGTGCGCGAGTTCGTTGCAGAACTTTCGTGATCCCCACTATTTGCCGATAGCCTGACCCCGCGCTTGAGGAACTCGGTCAAGCAGAGAAGACTGCATCTGTTTTTAGCAGAGTCAAAAAAAACCTCACCTCCCCTTTCATTATTGTCTGGTCCTAAAAATTCTAAATTATAAAATGAAAGACTCGCATAACCACAACTTTTAGAGATGATCACTGTTACCAGGTAGAAGTCTATTATTCTAGGTGCTTTCTGATGCCACAGGTAGTATCCACCAGCGGGATCAAAACACTTTCACTTCGCTGTATAAGTTGGACATGTTCTTGTGTTAGTGTGTGGAAATCCAGCTTTCCGTCTGCAGTTCTTTAGGTTTCTTATGTTAAAACATTGACGATAAGAGATTTGAGATTCGTTCGGGTGTCATCAACCTGAATCTTCTGATGAAACAGTTTGCGGTGCAGGCTAACCTTGGACAGAATGAAACCACACTCATTGAAAGGTCGTTTATACCCAGAGGTCCCCCTCCCCCAAACCACGTGGAAAACGAAGAGAAGAATAGGAGAACATTTATATTTAAGGAATAGGTGTAAGAAAAGGATTTTAAGAAATATACTAATCTCTCAGTTCCTTGTTCCCGATGTAAGATTTTATGCCATCCGGATACACTTCCTTTGTGGTGAAATCTTTGTAATCCTATTCAGAATGCCACCTGTCTCTACCTGCTTGAGTAACTTCTCCATTCTGTTTTGAGAACTGTTTGAGATCTGTCTTTGGAGTTAAACTGCCACAGTTTTCATTACAGCCCTCCTCTTAAAGACATTTGTGTGACTTGGGCAAAGGTATTCAGCTTCTATTTTGTGACAGATTTCTAATTCTGCAATCCAGCTGTGCACTTTTTCCTCTCCCGTTCACGAATGCTAACAGTTATGTAGCAGGCACTGAAATTAACATGTTACTCACATCTGTGTCACTGTCCTCTTTTCCCTTTACCTTGATCAGTGCACTATCTTTGGCTCCTTTAATCTATTCCCATACAGCCATGAGTAGCAATTCTTCCTCTACACCTACAACCTGCTATTCATTCCCTGTATTTTAGATTTATTTCTATAAAAACTGTGTGGGTTGATCTTCACCCAAATGGTCAGTCCCACAAACATCTAGAATTCAGATGCATAAGACTGAACACAACTTTGTCTTCGGAGCTGCTATATTACCTATTTTAGGAAGTGGCTCTATTATTTTAAACTGGTATTCCTAGCCAGGAACCTGAGATTCCCTCAAAAACTACCTTCTATCCTATTACACATTCAAAAGGTTCCCTTAAAATTTCTTGAAGCCACTGTCTTTTCATTGCTGCTGATTCTGCCTCGCTGCCACGTTAAGTTTGCTGTCTTTACCATTTTATTTCTCTGACCTTGACCCCAATACTGATTTCTTTTGCTTTGATCTAACTTGGTATAACAAGTCTCCTAAAAGGCTTCTTAGTTTCCTTCACTTATAACATGAATCTTTATAATATAGATGTCTGATTTGTTACTTTGTTGTGTATTGGTATCTGAAAAAAAATTTTTTGGGTGTTTTGAGAAAAAGTCTTACCATGTAGTTCAAGCCAGCTTTGAAGGCACTGTGTGGCCCAGGCTGGCCTCAAACCCATGAGGACCTCCTGCATCAGCCTCTTGAGTGCTGGGATTACGCGCATGTGCCAGCATGCACGGTTCTACAAATTTTTACTATAAATTTAAATATACAAAAGTTATAATTTCTGCCTATGCTGTGAATCTTAACATCTTAAAAATGCTGTATCTTTTAAGTGTATCCAACCGAATATAAAAATCTGTAGTGATTTGGTAATAATGTCATCTGTTTTTGAAAATGTGAACAAACTTTACTGCTTGGTGTTCTACATACTTTTTTCCTCTTGAATGTACTTATGTTGCGTTTTGCTCCCAGACTATATCCTAATATAAGTTAATTGTATGCTTGAAAAGCTCTTTTACTGATCACCTTGTCATATACCACTCCATGTAAAAGTATATTTAAATTGTTACTTCCTGTGATTATAGATTTCAAGGGCTAAACGTTTTTCTTTGGATTTTTATCATCATAAATACTGGTAGGATGCAATTAAAGAATGTAAGTCAAGTATTAGGCAAAAAGTAAAATTTCATTGAAAATAAATCTTTTAAAGACATAGATTTGAGTGTTCATAACTTTATTGAAGAGACTATCAATTGTCTCTTACTGAGAGGAGAACCAGAAATCTCATTTTTAATTGAAAGTATTTGATGAATTAGTGCAAGGTATAAGATGGGTCATGATGAAGGCGTAGGGGAAAGGGCACGCCTCAGCCCTCTCAGACTGTTCAGTTTGAGAAAACTTTATGCATGGAAGTTGAATATCTGAAAATTGATCCTCTGAAAACTTTTTAATGCCCTTGCATACTTTTTGAGAAATCTGAGTGTAGCCCCATTGGCCTTGTTGCATGCTGGACAAAGAATAGGCTTTTCCACATGAGTGCTGTGGAAAAATGTGACACGTTCTGTTCAGGATACAGGTTCACTTTTGTAACAATCAGGATGGAGAAGTCACATAAAATGGCTCATAAGTGAGATGTGTGCTGTAGCTCTCACTTGGGCTGGTTGTCAGTTTGGGTATGGTAGGGAATGAGGCAAAGTTGAGGAGTAATGGTTTAGTTGTAAGGAAGTGGAGTTTACCAGAGTTATGTTACCTTTGGTTCTATCAAATTGCCTGAGAGTACCCTCTTGAATTTATGTCTAGCAGTCAGTATACATTTTTACTCTCCCACATCACACATGCACATTTGCATATCCTTAGAACAAGGCTTTTGTTTTTATTTTTTATTTTTTAAAATTTATTTCTTTAAAATTTTAAGGAGAAAAAGAAAAAAAACAGAAAAAGGATATAAGTAATACAGAATTAAAAAAAATAAACAGTAGGAAATCACTAGTTAATAGATCACATATTGTCATCTTAGAAATAGTTGTTCAAGTTACAAAATTAAAGAATATAAAGTGGACATTCAAAAAGTGAGATTGCAAACAGTTCTGTTCAATGATCCAACAAAGATCAACAGTGGTTACCATAATTCCTCTTGCTATCTTAAAAAGAATTGCCTATATGATCAGTTATAATAAAATTGAACAAAACAGTAAAAAACCAAACCAATAAAACCAAAACATTGGAGACATTACAGGACTTCAAAAGAAGATAATAGTCAAACCGGAATGGGCATCATACTGAATCTTATTGTCTTCAAAGTTGTTGCCTATGCTCTCAAACTTGGTACTATCAAGCAAAACAGAATAGAGTAAAATCAGTCAAAACAAGATGGTGAGAGCAATACAGTGTTTCAAATCAAGTTAATAGGCTCTTTTATATTCTGCGAGAGAATCCCATGGTGGCAGTGGGTCAGGCTTAATTGTAGTTAAATATTTTTTAATTTTTTGTTGTAAAATAATTTTTTTAAATTTTATTTAAAAGGAAAAAGAAAAAACAAAACAAAACAAAGCGATGTAAGGGTACAAGTAATACAGAACTACAAAAAAAAAAAAGTAAGAAATCACCAGTTAATAGATTACATATTATCATCTTAGAGATAGTTGCTCAAGTCACAGTATCAAAGAATACAAAGTGGACATTCAAACAGTGAGACTGCAAACAGTTGTGTTCAATGATGCAACCAAAAACATTAATATGGTCAGCTATTTAATACTCCTAAACACACTTGCTGTTGTATCCTTTAGAGCACTTTTTTTCCCTCTCTTTTTTACAACAAAATTTACACATTTTGGGTTTTATTACTCCTTAGTTCTTATTACTTTTTGGGGGGGAGAGAATAAAGTCAAATATGGCAAAACAAAGCTGTCAGTCAAAACCAAGGATAGACATAGTACATGATGTAAGAACAGAGTACAAGGTTATCAACAATGTTACCATAATGTCTCTTGTTTCCTTAAAAAGAATTGTCTATCTCATTAGGTATTATAAAGTTGAACAAAACAGTAGACAACAAGACCAATAAAACTTAAGCGTTATAAACATTACAGGACTTCAAAAGGAGACAATAGTCAAACCAGACTGGGCATCTTAGTGAATCTTATTGCCTTCAAAGTAGTTGCCTATACCCCCAAACTTGATACTATCATACAGAATGGAACAGAGTCTAATCAGTCAAAACAAGATAGTGGGAGTATTACAGGACTTCAAAACAAGTTAATAGGAAATCAAAAAAAGCTACTATTATATATCCTGCTAATTTTTTAAATTTTCCCCCTTAATTTAAAAAACCATAAAAAATAACTAAATAATTTTTTTAATGAATAAGGGAGAGATTGAGATAAAAGAGGACATAACAATATAACAATACAGGTCAAAACATGACTGTTTCAGCAACCTAGTGCTTCACCACCAAATAACCCGACTTAATAGTAGTTACCATAGTGTCTGTCTTTTTCCTTGAAATATTTGAATAAAACTTCATATACTATAGCTTCAAATCTTTCCATATCAAGAAGCCCAGAATAAAACCTTTCCAATTAATAAGTGAAAACTTTATAAGGCTTCAAGGCCACATAATGGGGAATCATGATTACCATATATTTTTATAGATTTGAATCATTACTTACATTAGGG